CTTTGTTGAGAAAACGCCATTATCCTAAACAAAGACTTCTCAGTTGAGGGAATGGAGGGAAACACTAGAGAAAAACAAGAAGCTCCTCAGTATCAGTGTGTTACACAAACAATTTGATATTCACGGATTACTTTTACTTCGCAGTGGTTTTGCAACCTCTAGACTTCCCTTAATAAAGTCTGCTGTCCTATACTTAAGAAACTTCACCAAAGCAAAGCATAAAGAGGATTCTAATGTTCTAAGAGAGAGCACTAATGAACAAAAACTGACTTTGGTACACCTGCTTCCCCAAATATTAATTTAGATCTTGTAGTTCATCTATTTACATAGCTGGTAACACATGCGCTTCTATCTGTGCTCTCTCCTGGGATACATTTGTAGTGCATTCTTTTTAACAGTTCTGTGTCATCTTGGTGATAAAAGCCTATGTATTAAATGTGGACATTTTTGTTCAGAGCAACAGCATGACAATAATGCTAATATATGGCATGTAACATCAGCCACTGACTCACCCGAGGGAAAGCTCCCTCACCTTATGACCTATGGCAATGATAGCCATGAGCTATCATTGGAAGGGCTCCAAAATGCCTTAGCCCAACAAGGCAATGTTTTCATTACTGTGTTAGGGGGCCCATCCTTTACCTCTATAGCATCCAGAGAAACCTCACACATACCTTCCAAAGCTCAACCTGTGGCTGGTTATCAAAGTCACCACAGGCACACTCTCCAAGAGGTTGGAAATCCTTATTCTTGCTCCCAGCCACCTTACAGCTTTCACTGAGGGGAGGGGAGACAGGCAGACAGCACCGTGGCTTTGCCTTCACAACTTGAATGCAGTCGCAATCAATTTCTAGGGCTGGCCTGTTACTTCTTAAAAGAATGATCAAGACAACAGCAGAAACAGTTCTCCGATTCTTCAGGTGAAAATATTAGTGATTACTTATATCCAGATGTCTAAGTCTACCCCAACTGCAATAACAACATATAAACTGGGTGGACTATGAGCAAACATATTTCAAGCATTTCTGGAGGAAATGACAAGTCCAAGATATAAAGTGCCTGGAGGTTTGATACCTGGTCTAGCCTGCCTTCTTACTGTCCATACATTACAGTAGACATTAAATAAACTATGAATGACCTAATTACCTGACAAAGCCATAGTTGAAATAGGTAACACAAACCAGGTGTTTAGGTGAAGAAACTGCCCATGTGTGTCATCTCATAGCCATATATTTTCTATTACATACTACACCATCCCTAGATGATTTTTTATAACCTAGATTATGCATATTCTAGTAAAGTGTCCACTCCACTTAGCCAACTTAGCACAATTATTTGAATGTTCCCATCTGGCCTTGTTACTGTAATAAAGGCAGACAGATACCCATTTACACAAGCTATGTAAGAGCTGCAATCATTTGGATTTTGAATGCCTCCACAAAGGTCCATGTACTTAAACTTAGTCCCAGTGATTCTTATATTATGAAACATTGGCAAACTAGTGTGTGTTAATTTTACTTTCCAGGTTTGCATTTTTGTTTTTAAATAGTTCAAATAGTTAAATAAATAACATTCTCTAAATTCAGATATATAAGCATTTTGGTCAGTACTTAAGGTTAAAGTAACTTACACAAACACAATCAATGATCAGTAACAAGAACTTCAAGAAATCTTTATTCAGATATACTCCACTGCAATTTAAAAATACATTTTATTTATATCATAGTTCTTTATTCTAATCCCATATATATAAACAGATGCACAAGATGATAAACTTCTTAAAAACAGTCTCAAAACAATACATCATTTGTTGGACTGTAAGAGATGAATTTTAATACATAGCAGTACATATAAAATCTCTGGGAACACAATGATAAAGAATGTAAGTCCAGTCCAGTGCTCTAGAATGAAGCTCATGTTTCTTCTATGCTCAGATCTCACACCCCAATCTTCTAGAATCCCAGTGAGATCACATAAGGACTGAAGCATAGTTTTGTCCCAACATGCACCAGGCCTTGACCTCACAATAAAAGAAACTTAGGAAGGGGAAACGGTTGGAATGTATGCTTTAAAGAAGTCCTCATCAAATCCAGATTTCGTTACCTTCACTATTGGGTTCAGAAAGATACAACATCCATTTAATTAAAAGACTACAGTGTTTTCTCCTCTTCTCCAGAACCTTGGCTGCATTTTTTAGCTTCAGATGTTTGTGTAATTCAGTAAGTACTAGTCAAGTGATCTTCAAGTAGAAAAGAAAGGAAGAGGAAGGAATGAAGGGGAGCATACCCTGCTAAGGGGAACACAGTTTTACACCTGGAATCCCCCGATTTCCAACACACCCATTGTGAGCATGGACCAGGAAAGAGATCCCGATGTTTACATGCTAATACTCCAATGGTTTACAGCAAAGAACTGAGAACACTACAGTCTATTATTTTTGTTGAGTATTGCTTTAATTACTGAAGAATAGTCAAGAATTTTTAACAAATATCGGTATTTTCTACCAAAATTTCACTTACATGAAGGTAACATTATGGCAAGTATTTCTAACATACACATTTCCTTAACAAGCTATAAGCTACAGGAAAAAAAAAAACTAAACAGTAACATGGTAGGTGATGCTGTTTCATGTTCTTCAAGGTCCTATCGAAAGTTACTTTTAACAAAAATAATTTTGAGGCAATAATTTTTAATTTACTGGGAATAAGTAATTTATTTATTTACACTTCTACTTATGTCTTATTCAGGAAGCCCTGAAAATGCTAGGCTGTAAAAGATTTCTATTTAAGAAGGCAATTCATGAATTGTCTACTTCATCTTATAGCAAGAGAAATGATACACATACTGTAGAATTGTTCATTACAACAGCTACAGGCCTCATGTGACTAATGAATGTTTCATGTATGGCTAGTCTATAGCAGTAAAATACACATACTTTTTCAAAGAATTAATAGAGTCCATAAGGTATCTCAATAGCTTATTTTTAACATCAGTTACACATTGAAATATTTTAGAAACCAAGTTAGAAAACACTACTAAAATGAATTTCAGCTGTATATTTTTTCTGCATATGAGTGTTTTCTCTGCATGTATGTGTATGCACTGTGTGCATGCCTAGTGCCTGCAGAGGCCAGATGGCACTAGATCCTCCAGAACTGGAGTTATGGACAGCTACAAGCCTCCACAGATGGGTGCTAGGAACCGAATCGGCAAGAGCAGTAGGTACTCTTTAACTACTGACACCTCTCCAGCCTCTGCTCAGTATTTTAAGTTACATATATGGCTTGCATTATTTTTCTGTGATAACACAGCTACAAAAGCAGCAGACCTAACTATATGCTAGTATCATCCTCAGTTTACAGCATTTTTATATTATAATAATTGAGATAAATACACTTAAACATATAAATGTTCCTGAGTTTAAATTCTCTCTCTCTCTCTCTCTCTCTCTCTCTCTCTCTCTCTCTCTCTCTCTCTCTCTCTCTCTCTCTCACACACACACACACACACACACACCTTTCTACTCTCTGAAACAAAACCAAACAAGTCCTAATGTCACCTTTCTCGTCCCCTTCCCTGTACTGTCAACTGGGATGAACTCTGGTTAGATGAGTATACATAGCAGATATAGACAGAAGGGATCTTCTGGGTGACAGAATGCTCTAAAATTGGACTGTGCTGATGGGATATATGAGACCTTCTACACTACACCACTAAAAAACAGATGAAGTTCCAGAAGACACAGCTAGCAATCTTCACTGGACACTCTGAACTGCATTTTCTTTCCCTATTGCAGAAGAGGAAAGTTGCAAAAAAAAAAATCCAACAGTTGCAAAGTTACAATCAATTCAGACAAGGATCTTAGCAGTAAATAAACTTAGAACACAGGATTGTGGGGGTTACTGCTGCTGGCAGATCTTGAAAGCATTATTTCAATCTAAAAACTAGATTTTCCACCCAGAATGCTGATGCTGCCACCTTTTGTGCCATAAACACCTTTGCTACCAGGTACAAGAAAATTTTTTCAAAAAGAGTAAAACCAACTTCACTTTTGACTGTCATAAAGAATGGGAAGACCTGACTTTACACTTAGAGAAACAAATTACTGAAAAACAGGCCAAACCATGCACCTGAGTCATTCCTCCATGCACCTGAACCATCATACACTTTGGTGGGCCTTTTTGTGACTTGCCTGCCTGAGATTATTTCCAGAGCTCACGTTACTCCATATTAGCCAAAAGAAAAAAGCAACCCACCCACCCACCAACCAAACAGAAAAAGGAAAGGGAAACACATGCCCAGCAGTGGAGAGTAGAAATAGAAACACAGAAGGAGCAGACACTAAACAATGAGATAGTTCACAGAAACACAAATACAAAGATAATGTGTACATGGAATCACCAAAAACTTCTACTTTAGAAGTAAACTAGGCAGATATTCAAAAGTCAAAGACTTATTTGGAATGTCACAATCATGAAGGAATGTTCCCTTAAGACAGCCCCATTAATAGTTCATGCTAGTTAGTCATACCAGGACACCCAAGCATCCTGCTGAATCTAACTAAGGATTCATTTGTTACAGCTCCAGACCAATGCTGCAAGTTCAGTGATATTTTAAAAAATGGACTATGTGTTGAGCAGTCACTGAATTTCACTTTTTAGCAGTGGCCTTCTTTGGGTGATGAGGGTTACCACTAACTGTTTCCTGTGTCAGCTACTGCTCAGTGTGATGTACCAATATATACCTGGCTGTTTTCAGTCACTCCCAGAATAGATTCTGGGTATGTTTTAACAGGTATGATTTTAAAGGTTTTGTAGAATATTATGTAGATATCAAAATTAAACTATGTTGAATTGTGCCTATGGTTACAAGAATGGCTACTCTCTTGTTGCTTGTGGTCTTTCTAATACATAAAATAGTACAAATCAATGAAAATGGACTTATTCTTTACAGACTATGGAGGACTTTTTCCTTTTGTCCAAGCTATTGGCAAACTCACACAACATTCCTTACTCTTGTAAAGCATAGCATTTATATTAAGAACCATTAAAATTTCACAAAATGTTCAAAGAGCTCCAAAGTAACATGAATAACATTATGCTTGCACACCTTGTAATTTCCAAGCAGCCAAAACCTTCCTCCCAATGTGCTATTTCCCTTTTGTGAATAGACCACACTAAAGGACCCGAGTCTAAATCTTGGAGTTTCATCCTCTCCATTCCTAGACACATTTACATAACAGGGTGCAAAGCAAAGCTTAAGAAAATGTAAATGCCCTATTTACATAACTACTTACTTTTAATATAAAATGAAATTCTACTATGGAACCCAAAACACCTCCAACGGGCTGTGCAGAAGATGGGATCGATGATGTTCACAGGTCATGCAGCTGAGGGAAAAACAGGCTCAGCAAACCTCAGCACTGTGAGTTGAACACATTAAGCCTTTTGTAAAGCTTTCCGCAAATCACCATAAAAGTTGGTTAAAGTGCTTGCCATTGCTGTATCTACTGCAGACTGAGGGATCATGCCACGCAGATCTGTCTGAATATAGCCTGTTAAAAGACTCTGGCTTGGATTGTCTTTAAGTGGAACACAAAACCAGCCACAGGGATGGTTATAGCCACGAACAAATTCTGGTCTCGTTTCACTCCAGTCAAGACTGACTCCTACAAGACAGTTTTAAAATAATATCATTAAGAGCAATAACTGGTATAAAACTCTCATTTAAAAAATATTATCAGATTCCTTGCTTAAATAGTTTTCTTCTATCCATACTAATGAAAACTAACTCCCAGGAGTGACCACAGCAAAATGAATGAGAACAATTAACTACCAATGAGAATTCTGGTGCAGGGTTGACAGGTAATGGGGAAAATTCTAATCCCTTCAGAAGAGATGACATGATATAATCTTGGTAACTCCTTGGAAATTACAAATTTTAGTTGCAGCAGCCTCAAAGTGACAGGAACAAAATGTATGAGAATGTATGGTACATCCCCAACTTTAGTATTCACCAGTAAACAAGTGGACAACAACTTATAACTCAAGTTTATACTACATATAACACGTATTGATTTACCTACACATTTTAAAACCAGGAGGCTTTCAGTGATGGTATTTTTAATTAAAAAAAAACCCACAATTCAAAGAAGGAAATATACATACATACATATATTTATATGTATGTATGTATGTATCTAGTCTACTATATGCACTTGTACATGTGCATGACATACATGTACACCAAAAAACTGTTTTGAGATTCTCAGAATCAGTCATGTTATCCATTTATGCTATGCATGAAGTATAGAATATTATGTAATTGGGAATAGCTAGTTATTAGAAATGGTTGAGGGCTCATCTTTAACCCATTTATACCTGAAAGGCCCAGGGAATATTTTAGTAGTGGAAGGGGGTGTATGTTAGAGGCAGAACAAAGAGTGAAGGGCTGCAAAACACCATCCTCTAAGCTCAATACAAGTACTGCAATCTTGAACTCACAACTACAGTCATCTTCACTGGGCCCACATAAGACTGACCCTGTCAACAACTGCAGGAAGAGGCTCATGGGACCCTACCCATTACTGTTAAACACTGATAGATTCTGGGAAAGGAGGAGCAATTTTCAGTTGTGTGCCCACTGCTGAGCCCAACAGGTTCCAAACAAAAAGAGGAAATATGAATGTGAGAAAGAGATATATAGGAAAAAGTCTGGGGTAGACAAGGTAATAACAGGAAAGAGAAAGAGTAGTCAGCATGCATTATGTACATGGGTGAAATTGTCAAAGAACAAATTTAATTAATACAAAAAACCCCATGCAATAGATAACAACATATATTCTCAATCAATAATGTCATATATTTATGATATTTAACCTGCCATTTAATCCCTAAAAAAACTAACAATAATTGAGGATTAAAAATCTACCTTATATGGAAGGACTCAGGGTAAAAACTTAAATATCTGAAGTACACTTAAAGCAAGAACAAGAGTTTTAGGTTATTACCACAGGATAAAAGTCCTTCTTCATAGCCCACAGTATAGGAGAAATCAACAAACTCTCTTGGGGAAATAATATTCAAAAGTTGACCAGCAGTAGTGTAACGCATCACACAGCAGTTCTAGAAAGAAAACAGCTTATGATTGGTATGGTCATCAGAGAGTCATCTACCAAGATCAATCTCTAGTAAGAACTGACACAAACTCAAAATGTTTAGGTATAAGAATAATAATTCCTACAGTGGTTCCCAAAGGGATAAGCTCTTTTCTAAATGTCAGTGCTATTATAAGAACATGATAATGATATATAAAAATACAGATATACTCAGTATCTAAATCTGTAATTAGAGAAGGATAATTCAATTAATGTAACCAATTATATAGGCCTAGAACATATATAGAATGAAGGGGTACAAATTGTTTCTGAACTTTGAAGATTTAAAAGAAAATTCACAGATATGTGACATTTTGACTAAAAAACAAAACAAAGCAAAAAAACAAGTATGATAAGTAATAAATAAAAACAGGTAACAAGAAGCCCCTTTGCCTAGATAGTTATCTAGTACTTAAGGCAACACTTTTAGCTCTGGTCTTTGATTTTAATTTAATATAACTGGAAAAAAATCTACATTTAATCTAGAAATCTAAATACAGAGGTGGTGTTTATCTGTCTTTGAGATTTTAGACCCTTAACCAAATTTTTACAATTAAATACATTTAAGACTTTCATAAACAACAATGGAAGAGGCACACTGGAAAAAAAATAAATCAGCACTAATATTCATTAAAATGAGGAATCTCAACTTTCATCTCAGCACTAGGAAAACAGGGATAGGTGGAACTCTTGAGTTTGAGGCTAGCCTGGTTTACATATATAGTTTTAGGCCAGTGAAGGTTAAGCAGTGAAACCCATCTCAAAAAAAAAAAAAAAATAAATGAATGAACAAATAAACACATAAATAAAATGGAGAAACTCAAGCTTTTAAAAGGTAGCATAGGAATCTTCTGTGGTATCTTTGCTATGATTATTTGCAAAGACATTAATGTAATAAATGTTAAGTATATACAAATGTGAATACTCGGAAATATGTGGTGTTTCTCTCTCTCTCTCTCTCTCTCTCTCTCTCTCTCTCTCTCTCTCTCTCTCTCACACACACACACACACACACACACACACACATACACACACACCCTCTGTAGTAAGTTTTCTAAACAGATACCTCTTCAAAGTGCTCCAAAATATCCAGTGAAGTCATTAACCGGTCCCAATCCAAGCGCCAGGGCCCTGGGCGTATGTGGTCTATTACATTATTGACAACATCATCCATAACACCTTGGGCTTTGTAGCTGGAGAACAAGAAACAAAGGCTATCCAAATGAAAATTCAGTGCAGAGCCAACATTGAAAATAAGAGAAAAACTTTTTTTTTTTACATTTAAATTACAAACAATCCCAGTTCCTTCTCCCTCCTGTCCTCCCACTCCCCATCCCACTCCTCAGAGAGAGTGAGGCCTCCCACGGGGAATCATCAAAGTCTATCACTTTTTATGGGGCAACTGAGGTGCTCCCCCACATTATCGAGGCTGAGAGAGTATTCCTCCATAGGGAATGGGCTTCAAAAGGTCAGTTCATGCACTAGGAATAAATACTGGTTCCACTGCTAGCGGCCTCATAGACTGCCCAAGCCCCACAACTGCCACCCACATTCAGGGGGCCTGGTTTGGCCCTATGCTGGTTCCCCAGTCTGGAGTCTGAGAGCTCCCATTTGCTCCGGTCAGCTGTTTCTGTGGGTTTCCCGAGCATGGTCTTAACCCCTTTGCTCATCACTCCTACCTCTTTACACCTGAGTGTAATGTATGAGTTATAAAACTGAGAAATTACTTACAGATACCCACTAAACTCTTCTGAGGGTTTTCTCCAAACTGTTACATCTTTCTATAAAAATATAAACATTATATGGTGATAATTACATAGGTGGAACCTTATATGCAAAATTAACTCTATAAGTTTAGAGCACTTAACTTTGCATTAAAAAACAACTTAAGCAATATCTCAAAGCGAGTAGATAATTATGCCACAATGATACCTGAATTTGAATTTTTTCTGTCACTCCATATTTACATTATACAACTTAAAGATTTCCCAACAGCTTAGAGATTCAAAGACTTTAAAATTCAGTGGCAGCACTATATTAGTAGCTATTATTATTTGCTTCATTCCAATCTTAGCTATTTATTATTACTGACACATTCAAGCTACATTAGAAACATTAAATATTTCATTCTCCAACTGCCCATGCCTTTTTAAAATTAAATAATTCATATTTATTGTGATGATGTTATCTTGAATTAGTTCCTACATCTTCTCCTCTATCATTTCCCAACTGACTCTAAGTATAAAACTCGAGTCCTAGAGAAGAACCTGGCTGAGCTTGGCTTCTGTTTGGCTCTGCCAAATCACGTGGTAAAGAGGAGTGCTAACTGGCTCCTCACAAACTTCTGACACATCTGACATGAGAACAAACTTTCAATGACCATCCTTCCTTAAACTCTCCTTTTGTTGACTTGGAAAATTGTTCTTTGCTTTCGTTGCCATGAACCAATTCTCAAGTCCAACAAGTAAAGAGCTAATGGGCTCCTTCCTTGTTAAGACAACCCACCAGCACATCTGCAGAATTATCCACTGTATACCCATTCAACATATCATTTCTCATCCACAATTTTCCTAATATTTTAAAAGTCATCAGACAATTCACTGGCCATACAATAAACACCCAAACAGTAATTACATATATTTACCATTTTCTTGGCAACTCGCCACTTATCTTCTTCAATGCTATGATACTGGATCAGAGTGTTTTGAAGTTTAGTTGAAAACGAAGCAACATCAGACAGGCTTTCCATTTTGATCTTCCTGTTATAGAAACCAAGATTAGTATCCGCAAATACTGGAGTAAGTCAAATCTGTATTCAGAATAAGTTCTCCTGGAGGAGCTATAAAGGGCAGTTGTACCTGCACCTGCACCCCACTCCCAATGAACTAATCACACAATCCAAGAGCAGGAGCTGGGTAGAAGTTTCCCTGGAAAGCCTGAGATCAGTAATCTATAGCAGGGATAATAAGCAGACTCTTTGTTATTAGGATCACTCCTATAAAATAATAAAAAGAGACAGATGGAAGAAGAGGGAGGAGGTGGCTCTCAAGTACTCCAGCTCTTCAGGAAGTTCCAAAGTCCACACCCAGAGGCCTACTTAGAACTTTGCTCTGAAGGAAAATCTCTATATGCCCAGCAACATCTTAGCAATTCACAATTAAAGTGGCATTGATTCACAAAGGTTGGGATTCACTCTAATGACTCTAATAATGAATAGATTCCTATTCACACCACCATTTCTCATTGTCTAGTGTTCTATTTTCTAGAGTTTTTATGTTCCCCAATCTAAGCTTATCAAGACTTTTGATCTTTGGACTTGGGATTTCTCTGCTTGAACTGCTCAATTCCAAATCGTAGCATGACTAACAACTTGCGATGCCAACTGCTGTTAAAACTTCTTCCTTACCCAGACTTGGGCAAGTTACTGTTGTCTCTGTTTTATTCCTCATAGTGCTTGGCAGTGTCTGAACAGCTTCAGACACTTGTTGGTATATAATTCTACTCTTTAACCACCTCACCTAACTAACAGAGCAAAGGTCTCTGTCATATTCACCACTGTCTAACTCTCACCTAGAACACTGTTTGGCTTTTAATATCACTGTTGATATTTTCCCCCCACATACAAGATTTGGTATCCTTTTATCATCTTTTGATGCCAAGATACAAATTCTTGGCATAATTTCTACATCATCCTTACTTTTCTCATACTTGTAAAAGGTTAACAGAGAAAAGCTACCCATTATACCACTATCAAATCACTAAAAACAAAACCAGGAAAAACTTTATTAATAATTCTGTCTTCCAACCAGAGCTCAGAACTATTGATCTAAAAACTAAAGAAATAAATCAAAGTTGTAGTCAATATTTAAATATCACAATGTAGAGTATAGAAACCTCAAATACTAAAATCAAGATGAGAAAGTATACATGAAAAATTTAATAACCTGAAATCTGAGATCCATAAAAGTGATATAAAATTTCTAAGTATAGACCCTACCTATCCACAGAAAGTGGATGAGCTCATTCCAGTCAAGAATGTAAAGCCACTCAAGAACCTGCCAGCTTAAGAACCAGTACAGTGACCTTATTCAAGGGTGTGGTATAAACAAGTGTAAATTCTTGGAGAGCTTATAAAAGAAATGTACCGAGTGCTGGGTCATGGTGATTAGGCCACATTCTTTAAACTCAGAGGCCCCCTGCTAGCTCCCTGTGGGTGGCAGATTCGAACTTTTATTTTTTCAAAATTTATTTGATAGAAATCAAATGAAATGGTAAGTCACTATTATCATACTCAAACATTAGCTTTGTACAAAGCCAGTACAGAAATGCCAGTACAAGCTACCTATACAGATGAGAATCTGGAACTTTAAGATATTTATCTTGGCAGTTATTCACATTTACTCAACAATGCAATTTCAAGCCTTCTGGTATCGCTTATGTGCAGCAGACCTTAAATGCTTAATCTGGGTTAGCTCTCCCTCCAGTGTTTTCTTACAATCCACACTCCAACTATTCATTTATAGGCTATCATTCTGCTGTAGAGCCTTTTGGAATATAATGTACAGCTATTCAGGGTTGTGCTCTTTCTGACCAACATGACGTAGAAACCCAATGAATAAAATATGTATTGCCATTAACACTAATCATCTGTGAACTTCTGAACACAGAGTCCCCATTACCATAAAGAATGAACAGCTTCTCAAGGTCTACTACTACGTATTTACCAGTATCCAGTTCTAAAAAATGAAAATAAGATAGAACCCAGCTTTTGGCTTATTCTGTCCCTTAAATTTCTGCGGCAATAACAAATCTAAAACGCTAGAAACTGATTGATAGTCTCTTTAAGACTGCTGAAAAAGAAAGGAAGCAGAGACTGAAGTAAATATATTACCAAAAGTTCTCTTTTAACCCTTGAAGTGTTTCACTCAGCAGTTAATTCCTGCATGAAGTCCAGAATAAATAACTGTCTAGGTTGTGATGTGCTTGTCTGAGCACCTCTCTAAACATATTCTAGAATGAAGGGAGGTAGTGCTGGAGATGGCAAGGTTTTGGCTCTCCCCTGGTAAAATCCAGTGCTTGGATTAACTGAAAACAAACCACAGTCTGCCCTCCTGCCATTTGCAACCCGGAAATGGTTTTAAATACCACTTCGAATTGCCTTTTACTAATACAATCTTTTACTCCCTTAACGGTTGTATCAGAAATTTCCCCAACCATAACAAATATCAAAGATAAGAGGCATCACCTAACTAAACAAACTCTAACAATGCCACTCTAACAAAGGCCATAAATCCTGTATCAGGCCAAGAGTTAATTATTGTCAGCTTTATATCTTTTTTGAAGTTAACCTTTATGTCTATGTTTTATATGTCTATATTTTTTTATGGAAACTATTGGGGTTTAGGATGATTTTCCTGATGCTATGTATTAGCAACAAAGTCTTGACTAACAAAATTCCAGTTATTCTCAACTTCATGGCACAATGAAATAGCAATAGGATCTCTTTCTAACACAAGACATTTTAGGATCCACAAAACAGCTCAGTGATTAAAAGTGCCTGAGTTTAACCAAAACATGACCCCCCCCCAAAGTTGTCCTCTGGCATCCACATGTACCACAAGAGCCCTGCGCGCGCACGCGCACGCGCACACACACACACACACACACCACAAAATTTTGAAAAGAAATTACTTTAAACATCCCCTTTGCTATTTGTTCTTTTGTAGTTTAATACACTTACTAAAGATTTTCTGGCACCTAAACTTTAAATCTTCCATTATTCCAATTAATATAGTCTTTATGTGCATCCTGTCAATTTAACAAGTCACAGACTTTCTTCAACAAGACAGCAAACTAAAGCCTGATCAAATTATACATTCTAAAATAAAAAATGTTAACAAAATGCTCTATATCCAATCTATCTAACTTTTCTAACTCCAGTCAAGTATGGTAGCTATGAATTTTTGATACTGGCCCTTGCTCAATATAAAGGCATGAGGTATGAAAGCATACTTCCACGGTGTGTATAATGAGCCTCTTTCAAAGGCTCACCTTGACGTGCAGCCTGACTATGTTAACACTCTTTACAGCGTGCAATATTTACATTCTAATAACACCACAGTCTTAATTTTGAGTCTAATTTAGTGTTAACTCTTTAATGACCTTAATCCTTTTGTAGAATAGTTTTTAAAGTGGTTACGCCCTATTATGTGGTTAATCTTTCTGATAGTTTTACATTATGCCATTCCATGTGATTATCATGACAACCTTAAGAGCCCATCCGGTCTTTATCCCTACTTTACAGAAAGGGAATGCTGCCATGGGAAAGTGAAATTATACCAAATTCCAAAGACAAATAGGTGGGGCAACAAAAGTTCTAACCAAGCTCTTTGATCTGAGTTCACGGGTCAATCCTGAAAACGCTGATCTGTAGACTCTCACAAACTGTACATAAAAACATGACTTCCCCAATGTATTCAACTGTCTTCCTAGTCCCGGAACCCCCAAGACCTCAAATAACCTTCCCTAAGTAGACACGAAGGAAACCTGCAGCAGTAACTTCCATGAGTTACTATGTGGACTTGCAAGTTACTGAGCACTGAGGAAGTGTCTCTTGGGAACCCTGTCCCCGTGGAAGCTCAACCAGAAGAAATGGCCCCTGCACCTCTTCCGAGGACCACGGAAGAGTCTCTGCGGAGCACGCCCTCGGGACCTACCCCATGGCCCTAGGAGCACTGCCATCACCATTTAACAGGTGAGGAAACTGAGGCCTACTCCGCTCGCGGCGGCTGCAGTCGTGGCGCTCTGTCCGGTCTCACCCGCACCCAGGGTCACCCATCCCTCTCCTGTCTGCTAAGAGCAGCGCCAGGGAACGCTCGGCCCCGCCCGTCCGCCCGTCCGCCCGTCCGCCCGTCCTCCCTCCAGGCCGTTACCTGAGGATGCCAAGCGGCCACCAAGTCCAGGAAAACCGGGTTCGCCGCTCCTGCAACCCCACGCTTCAAGCTGTTTTCTAACCCGCCCAGGCGCTGCCCGCAGCAGCCAATGGGCGCGGGTGCCTTCCAACCACAGCCAATCATAAGGCAGCAGGCATCTCGGGTCAAGGCGGGCCACGCCCGCAGCCCCGCCCCGTGCGGACCCTTGGGGACCTCCGGGAAGTGTTAGCGGAGCAACGTGTGTTCGCTGGGATTGGCTGGCTCCTGGGCGTGAGGGGTCCCGATTGGCCGCCGAGGATGGACCGATTCCGCGTGGGTCTGGGCTGGCCGGAGCCTGTCTGAGTTCCCCTGGTGTGCAGGTTTGCCTCTGGGCTTGGATTAGAGCCAGTGAGTGTGCCCGGGCCAAGTGATTGTGAAAGGTTTGTGCGAGACTGCGGGGGGAAATAACAACTGAGGAATAGTGGTGAGGGAGAAGGACCCACAGTCTCCATTGTGAAGATCCCAAGTGGGGCACTGCTAAGGCAGGATGCAAAGTCTGGTGAGAAAAGGCTTCCCCTGTGAGGAAGACCCCTCTTCCATATTGCTGTCTAGCCTAGTGCTGGAAGGTAAAAGTGCAACCACGGTGTAAGTTGACCTTTAGCCAAACGGTGTTTCTTGTCTTTGGGTAAGAGAGTTCAGAGAACATCCTTGAAAGTAGAGAAGAGGTGTTTGGCAGCTGTGTTTACCAAACTCAACGTTCTGGTTTTTCATCCCCTCTTAACAAGAGAAACATTCATGCTAGTAGCTATGAAGTTATCCATCTGGTGTGATTCTTGCAAGTCTAAACTCTGAAGATCAAGTTGTTTGCAAATTGCATTTACTAAGATAGCATAGCTTGAGAACTGAGAACAGGAAGGACTGCAGTCATTATTTTTTGATAGACCTGCAGTAAGAATAAATAATACCATCATAACGTTTTAAATTAGCCTTGCTAAAAAAATCACTAAACACCACTCGCCAGTGCTCATGCTTCACTTCTCATTGAATACATCGGACAATTCCCTAAATAGAGTTCTAAAAATCGTTTTTAAAGTTTACCGGGTTTTAGTGTGTGTGTGTGTGTGTGTGTGTGTGTGTGTGTGTGTGTGTGTGTGTGGTTTGTTTTCCTGCATGTATGTCTGTGCACTACGTGTGTGGTGCACATATTTATTGCCCGCCGAGGCCAGGTGGCTAGAAGATGGTGTCAGATCCCCTGGGACTGGAGTTACAGACAGATTATTCTGAGTTGCCATGTGGGTGCTGGGAATCCAGCTCCTCTATTCTGGAAGAGCAACAAGTGCTCTTAACCCCTGGACCATCTCTCCAGCCCAAAGATAGGTATACAGTAATGATGAGAAGCCACTCACCACTCGCATAGGTCTTGAAGCTCTTAGTTGCTGATTGGCTGAAGTGGAATTTGGTCACTAATTTCTAAAACTGAGGCTCTTTATCTCCACAAAACTCTTCCTGTGCTTCATTGATCTTTGTCAGACAGCTGTGTACCTCAGCCAGACAAGACATGAAAGACCCAACCCTGGAGATTTACATGATTTGACAGTAAAAAGAACAACTTTGGAAAAATAAAAAAAAAATGTCTCTCATTCTTACAATTTAAGGCAGGAGACACCACTACCTATTAGAGGCAGACCTACCTATTCTATGAGATGCCTGGAAAACATGTTAAAGCAAACTTGACCCTTGCTTTGAAGGAGAGCTGCATGAAGTCGTACTATCACATGTGATTTCTTGTCTCTGTTCTTGTTTCTTTGTGTTTGTTCTTCATCTTTTGCCCTGTGGTTTCTTAGCTAGAATGAACTTAAAGTAGTTGAAAACCATTATCTTCATCAAAGTGGAATGTCACTAAAGCAAGACCTCGGGTTCAGAAAAGAAAGAAAACATTACCTGGATCTGTTATTTAAGGGCTTTCTATGTTCCATGGGCAATATTAAGTGTTTTTCATATGTTAACCCATTTAATCCAAATATAAATGTGGTAACAGACATGTACTATTACTGCTGACCTTACATATATGGAGGCAGTATAGCATACAAGGAAACAGAAATGCCTTTTGGATAGTTTGAAAAATGAGAAAATAGGTTTCCATCTAGTGTTAAAATATAAAAGAGACATGTATAAGAGATTTGAACAGTTCTGTGGAAAGTTATCCTAAAGGTACAAAACCATTTCCCTGAGAAGCCCACTCATCTGACTTAATATATGAACATATCTAAAGAAAGGCAGAACGTATTTCTCAAACAAACAGTGTACCAAAAGGTTCACAACGGTAAGCAATAAATCTAGAAATGAAATGGCACATAAATATCCCCAGCTCTCTGAAATTAAAAACAAAAACAAATTTTTCCCTAAACTCTATGATCCTACCCAGCTATGATACCTATGAACTACAACAAAGACCAACATACCAAGATATACCTAAAGGTACAGTAGTGGCACCCACATTATGACAATAACCAACACTAATGTAATTAGACTCAGGCATGCTTAACACAAGGAAAATCATGCCTGGTACTGTAAAGCTAATCAACCACGTATGGCTGTTGAGGCCATGCATCTTAGAACACCTGCTTCCTTCAGTTTCCTGCGCCAGTATATAATTCCTAACTGCATTGCAGATACGTAACCTTTATACCCACAGATAAGTGTAGAGCCCATCCCCATCAAAGAAGCTTTCTCCCTGCTCTTTCTGTCTTCCTTCCTTCCTTCCTTCCTTCCTTCCTTCCTTCCTTCCTTCCTTCCTTCTTTCTTCAGCACATCATTACAGAAAGCTATACAAGTCAAAATTCAGTGAATAACTGAGTGCCCAAACCCAGTTGATGACATCAACAACACAACTCTAGCAGTAAGGGTCAGGGAACATCCTGAAAGAGAGTGTAGAAAGATTATAAGAGCCATAGAACCAGGAAGTCTACTGTGAGATTGTGTCTTCTGGCTATGACAGGGAAGCTACACCCACCAAGTCTCAGCAACATGGCAGCCTAAACACGATCTGAACAATTCCAACAACAGTTGACATCCCAGTGTAGATGGCAGAAGTCTCACTGGGGCTTACTCCTTGACAGTTAACAACTGTTGAGGGAGAATGACTCTTCCACAGGGACAAGCCCTTTAATTGGTTATCCAGTACCAAGTGTTTAGCCCTAGAAGCATACATCAGGCAACAATGAACTGTTTTATTTCACATGTTGAATACTTTATATGTATATGTAAAAACAATGTTTAAAGAAGAGGTGGCCATGAATTCGGGAGGGAAGGGAAGTCAAGCATAGGAAGAGTAGAAGAGAGGGAGGAAACAAAGTAAGTATATTTTACTTAAATAAGAAAAACATTAAAACAAAAATTGTTCCCTAAACTCCTTAGTTTAAAAAGTAACCATTTTATACTGGGGAATAATGATAATAATAATAAATTTAAAAGTCAAGAAACATAAGAAAAAATAGATGAATGGGATACTACATTAAGCTGAAAAGGCAATGAGGAATCGATATGGTGGAGATAAAACTTAAACATCCATACAGGAGAATATATAATACATAATTATTATTTACATAATACATAGAATACATAATCAAGAATAACAACAAATGAAAACCCTGCCTTTCTTCTGGATCTGTTCCCAGTGTAAACTATATTTTGTTCCTAGGTCACTGAGGGCTAGAGCTATATTTTCGCTGAATCTAAGCAGATTCTCCTACTATCAAATATGGTAATGTAAACTCATTTCTTCCTTTCAACTATTTCAAAGAGCTTCAAAGAGTAACAGACTTTCAAACATTTCTGGTTAAGATATACACTTGTGTATACTGATATTTTGACCTCTTTAGAGATAAAGCCTCCTGCTAAATATTTCTCAGTGTTTGAACCAGTTTTTTTTTCTAATATACCTAGTTCAAGAGATCATATCTGATATAAGTCACTATGCCATGGGCCAAGTTTTACTAAGATTTTTAATGTTCAATTTGGGAATCCAAGTGATGTAAAATAATGCATTTAACATAATTATTTTCAACAGAGATTCCTTTGAGACTAAACTTGTGAATCCATTTTTAGTACACCAAGTAGGTCACAGACTGAGGACACAGGAGTAAGAGACACCATCAAGGTCAAAGAACACATCTGGCATAGCTAAGGAATATAAGCTGCATTCTTTGACAGTTTCTCTCTGAGGACCAAAGCAGGGAGACTGCAGATATGAGCTTTTGCCCACAAAGCAGCAAAGAGGAGCACCTAGTAGTCAACTTCTGAGAACATTAAAGGAATTTCTATGAGGACCTAAGAATCGCTGCTAAGTCTAACATTTAAGACCAAGGTGAAATATACTGAGGTCGTATTTTCTTGAAAAACCTTCATGTCAACTAAACCACAAGTTTCTCTGAAAGAGCTAGGGGACTGAATTTTGCCTATCAGCCCATCTGTGGGTTGGGTTGACATCTGTTGCCTCTCTGTCTCCTTGTCTCCCTGTCTCTCTCTGTCTCTGTCTCTCTCTCTCTTTCTGTGTGTGTGTGTGTGTGTGTGTGTGTGTGTGTGTGTGTGTGTTCTTCTTCAGTCTTTACTGAGATAACATAAAGGAAACCATCCTCCATTAGCCGGGGCCTAGATGTCCTTGTGTGCTAGTGTCCCATTAAAATGGTTCGCTGTCATCTTGCTTGCTGTAGGAACCTCACTGGAAGTAGAAAGTTCATAAGGTCACCCCCAGGACTGACATGAAAATTTTTTCATCATTTATGTTTCATTAAAAATGTTGTAAATATGCAGGTAAACAGAACTAAATTACTAATAGTGAATGTCTTTGGCATTTTTGAAACAGATATTCAAAGTAACCAAGAAAGCATAAAAAAAATATATTTGCAAGACTCAAAAGACACAGAACCCAAACATCAGAGACTCATCTAAACCTTGAAAGTACCAACAATGGTAGAACCCTCAGAGACCTCGGGAGTCTTCCCCTTAATGTCTCACCATGACTCTTCACCTTCCATAAACTTCCTTTTCTCCATAGGGAAACTCTCTACTACCAAGGCAAAAATGGCTCCTCTTGTTTCTCTCGTGTATTCAGACATTCTTTCTTCTCTGGCTTCCAAGACTGTTTTCTATTTCAAAAAAAAAAAAA